ACACACACACACACACACACACGTCACACGGCCAACCAAGCGCATATTGATCCGATCATCCAGTCCCAATGGTTTCAACCATAGCATGGATTGTCAACCTTTATGGTCCGCTAAAGACCAGGTTGTTGTTTGGGGCTCATAGAAGGTACATGAATGTACAACCCCCCGGACTGCGTCCTTGGGTTTGCAAGACATCTGCGCCAAGACAGCTGCGGTTACTGTAGGACCGTTGAATAATCCGTTTAAGTCCACCACTATCCGCCCTTCTGTGCCATGTTGCTCGATGATGCCAACCTGCAGCGTCCAAGTGCCCGAACCCAAAAAGAACTGGTTGATTCCACTGGAATTGCTTGAGGAACCAAGAAACAGTCAGTAAATCGCTTGAGGGACCAAAAGTCTGGAGGGAAACATCAACCAACAGAACATGTCCTTGCAGATTCCATGCAAAGGCTCTTTCAGGCGAGGAAATTGAGCATTCAAATCACATTAACTTTGTCCCTGTTTGGATCATTCCCAAGGCTTGATCAACTAGGAATAACAAAAAAAGCAAAGCAAACCGCTAGGGGTTGCGCTGTCGTGACCTATTCAGTCATAAGCTACAAACATCTCAGAAACCAGGGAAGGATGACATCTGCGGATTGCCTTGAAGCGATTCATTCATTCAGAAACCATCAGAAACCTTAGTCTTCCCTACTGGTCGCACATGGTCACACCAGTCAAGTTGTTCAAACGATAATAGCATGTCTAGCACATCTGTGTGCCAAGTCACGAAGGTGATGATCTGCAACCAGCCTAGCGGAGACGTCGAGGAAGCAATGGTGAAGCTTCACCAGGATTGTTTTCCTACTTTAATCGATTTCAAGTGAAGGCTGTGTACAGCTGGCTACAGTTGATGGAAAATATCCAAGCAGAACTTGAAGCTCACCGGAAAACACTTGTTTTATATATTACTATATATAATATAATATAATATAATATAATATAATATAATATAATATATATTATAATCGTATATATAGTGAGAGATTGTCCTCATCTACTTGGTTGAACACCACTCCTGGCCCCACCAACACAATACTCTGGTGCACCAAAGGGGTGGGCTTGGTGCACCACCAATGGGTTCCAGAAGACCCCCGGCCCTAAGAGCCGCTTGGCCTCACCGGGGAGGTACCCCGGTCCGGATCATTGGGGATCACTGGGATCGGGCATCTCTTACTCAGGCTCACTAAACCCTGGCCACCGCGCGGTGGCCCACCCGCACCTGCCAGCGGCACAGCAGCAGCGCCCTTGAGGCCGTTGGGGATGTCAGCAAAGGCCACCCCTTGGGAAGGGGAGCAAAGGCCTGGTGAGCTGGCGAGGATCTGTAGCAGACTCTGGTGGATCTGATGTTTACTGCATAAGTTGCATAAGCTTCACAACCAGGGATTCCTATTGGGTGATCATTGTATAGGGAGGGTGACCAGGGTGACCAGAAAATCCCCTCACTGGATGGTCCAAAAGAAACACCAATGTCGAAATAGGCCGCTCACCTACACTCGTGAAGCAAGGGGATGACAAGCTCGAAAACTCAGCATGCTCCCAGCTCCTGCACTGAGCAGGCTAGAATCTGATAGACTATGAACCCGTCACAAAAACAGCAAAGGCACAGGGAACCACTCACTCCATTTGCATTTACAAAAACAACTCACAAAACGAAAGGCCCAAACGAATGACTTCGGATGAAATACGTGACTCTGACCACCACCTATCAGGGACTCAAAGGGCCCAAAGGGCACGAAAACGCAGGGCCTGGGAAGCGGAAGTACTCCGGCACGATGTATCCAATGCAAGCCAACATGGCCACCTACCAGAATGACATCGTTGTTTTGGTGCTTATACCAGGCACATGTACTTTCCTAGAAAACGGGTTTGGGTGTTAATATGTATTTTTTCTATCTGCACATTGATCAGTGCATTTGACCAGATCTACTTCATGAATCCAAACAACATGGAAACTCGCCAAACGAAGTTTGTCGGCTGAGACCAGCCGCGTGAATCTGGGCGACTGAGCCAGGCACACGGCCGTGCTGAATCTCCACAATGCGACGGCGCTTGAACTGCTGCTTGGCCACCTGGAGTGAGATCAAACGAAACGATGCGATGCTGCGAGTCCATCAACAAGCTTTCAAGAAAAAACAATCTACACTTTACAAGTTCCCAAGAAACTTCTAAGATAGTTATGTTTCTCCAGAAATAAGTTTATCGAGGACACCAGTAGAATCTTTGAACATCCTTACAGGAGACTCTCTCTGCTAGGCCTATAATTCCCTCTTTGTTTGTTTTGTTTGAAAAGAATCCCAGTTCCATGTGATACGCTGGGACCTCCACCTGGTCCCTTCTCTGTTCCCTTGGATGGTCGAAGTATTGGTCACATTGACCATTCAACCCATTTGTTGGAACCTCTTCAGTCGGTGGTCAGAGGGAATTACAATCAACACACATCGATAACATGGAATGTACCATATAGCGGCAATGTATGTTATCAGTTTGTGTCCATGTTTTGCTTCTTCGCTAAAAACACATCGGCCATGTGCAATGGACACTGTGGAAAGGTGTTAAGTAAGTCAAACATATTCACTTGATGTGGTCTTCTCCTTGGATTCTTCACAACCAGTTTACCACAAAAGACGCGATAGGTTCCAATGCGCGCAAAAAAACGCTCGGCGTGGTGTTCGAGCCTCGGGATTCTCAAACTTGGAGAAGCCCAAGGGATCCCAGAAGCCCAAGGGAGGAGTCACACCAAGCTCCTGCAGAGGGTGATGAACATTTTAAGGATGTGTAGTTGATCATCCGGCAAGTGGATACAATGAAAAAGTGTAATTACATATCATTGGAAAGTGGTTTGTGCGGAAGCCTTTGGAATCTCAATTGCTCAAATCACTAAAGGTCCAACTTTTGTGGGTCCAAACAGGTAGCATCCATGCAGAGGAACCTTTTTTCTCCAAAACAAAGGCTTCTATCCAGAAAAGTATGGGTATTGTATTGTATTGTCATGTATTAACCTGATTGTTCCTTCTCTCCTCCCCTTTCTCCGCAGTCCTGGGAGAAGTCCGCCTCCGCACGCAAAGGAGAGTCCGTGAAGTTGGACCAGTCGCCCCAAGCGGAGCCGGTCAAGCCGTCCTGGTAGAACCTCGACAGGGTAAAATCGATGACGACGCGACGGGATGTTTCATACTCCGTGACATGGGAACAATACATAGCGAATGCTGGGTTTAATGGTCTGTTGTGGTCCGTTAATTGGGTGCTGAATTCATATTGATGCTCTATGATGTCCTTGAATGTTCTTTATATACGCTGCCCCGAACACGCAGCAACCACCAGGAGAGGCTATGTTGGTTTGGGCGAAAGTTCACATCCGAAACTAAGCCACCAAAGCGGGTTTTGCGTAATAGGAATGATTTCCTTGTATGATGTTCTTGGCTTAGAAGCATATATATATATATCAAATGTTCCAGGGTCTTTGGGAGCAAAACGATATCAAATTGTATAATGATGTGACAATGCCATGTGTCTTGCAATATCTTTCAATCTTTGAGCTGGCTTCAGCAACCTGAACTACTCCTGTGAGGAACAATGAACTTTCAGACCGAGGGCCAAATTCTTGTTCATCGCTAACACGTCACTACCAAGTAGCCATCAATACTAACAGACTAACAGGCCTTTGCAGGGGTGACCCACAATGGTGCTTAAAGCTCAAGTCCATTGACAGTATATCGGCAAAATAATTGTTATCGTTCTACTCTTGCTTTCAAACATCAAACTCAGCACAGCTTAGCTGTCCAAGCAGGGCACTCACATGGCACAGAAACATACTATGCTAATTATGTCCATATGTTGTGAAGCAGGGGAGCAACGGAGGGCGCAGTGTCATCATTCAGATTCAGAGGGACAAACTCCGTGCGATCCAAACCCAATGAGTTTAGTCCCACCAGATCCCTGTGTCTGCATTGGTGAAAACACAGGGAAACGAACGCCAAAATAAGCCTCCATACTCCTCCACCGTGGAAAAAATGCATTGGGAACCTGGATCATTGTGGTATGTTGTTGGATTTAGATTTGACGGCCCTGGTAAGCCTGGCAACCCGAGACTTGGTCGGGAGAAGAACATTGGACTTGGATTAATCACATACTATATTTTGTAAGCTGGGCTCATTGGTTTCCACATCTTTGTCAGACAGCTTCCCCAAATCAGTTCCATCAACATTCCCTTGCTTCTCAAGCGATGAAAGTGCCGTCTTGTTGGAAGCAATTCTGGGTGCCCACACATGCCGATGATGGCCATCATGGCCAAACGTCCGTTTGCCTCACAACGGGATGCGTCCCGGAGTTGCTCGACGTCACCAACGATCAACGCTCTCCGTTCCCACGCACTAAGTGCTCAGTCCGTGGCCAACTCGGCGCTGAGCTTCTTCTTCTTCTGCTCCGGGTCTGCGGAGCTCAGGACCTCAACTTGTCAAAGCTCGCATGGAAGAGCTTTGGCTCAAATGATGTGGTCACTTGGTTGGTCACTTAGTTTACCCAATCCATTTTCACTTACGAGGTGTGTGTCTATTCTTATGGAAACCCGCATGGGTTTGTAATTGGGGGTCCCTGGCTGTTTGTTTATGGCACGTATAAGTATGCTCCTGACTCCAATGCTTTGCAGTCCTCCCGCTCCATGTTAAGGAAGACAGGATGAATTGGACAACCAGCGAGACCACCTTGCAAAGCCACCTCACTCAGCGTTTATCCTCTCTTTGGCGATATGTTCGTATCCTGCGAACAAAAATGTGTGTTTTCTGTGTTTTTTTCTCCCAAAGTATACAGCAATATATATATAATATAAGTACAGCCAGTACAGCGCAGTGTTTTTGAGTTGGGATCATTCATGGAATGACTGGGCCAACTTCGATGGGTAAACCCAACTCGTCTGCCCAAACAAAAGGTTTGCGACCGAATCCCTCAGTTTCCCTGGAAAAGTAAACGCAATAACCGATTAGCTGAACTTATCACCTGTTCATCCTGAGTGGGGTGTCCCCCAATCCCTCCCCACCCCACCCCGAAGTCTCCGGTCAGGTGACATACCATCCGAAGTCTCCTGGACGGCCGCTGGCAATGTCGGAGCCTGGCGACGAAAGCCATGGAACCAGGCGGCGACAGGAACGAGGTCTTCTCTGGATGGGATGGTCCTATAGCCTATTGCGATGTAAATACTTAGGGGAGACCTTCAGTTGGACCTGTTTCGGAAAAGAAGAATAGACGAAATGAAACTATCTAAAGGCCTCCCTAGTTGAATGCACTGCAAGATTGACTTGATCTTACACATGTGAGCCGCCTGTTTCCCCCGGCCTGGGCCACGGGAGACCTCGCACCAGCCCATGTAGAGCAAGATTTGAGTCCAACCACCTGCAGGCACCTGGTCCGCGGAGCTTGTGGGGCTCACAGAAATTCCTGCGTAGCTCAGAAGCCCCCCTTTTTGAGAAACTTAAATGGGAATGATTGGGAATGTTGATTTCCACGGTTCTGCTTCCTCTTGAAAACACACACCCACATCACCATGCCCAAAATGTGGTCAGATCAAAACACCCTAGGAGCCCCAAAACACCAACAAACCGTCTGAGGATTGCAAGCATGCATTATCAATTACTTTGGCACCCAGGTGAACACCGCATGGTGACTCTTATTACAGTAGTTCCATTACAAAGGCAAACGGGTCCTTTCAATTTCTCTGATTTGTTGGACTCCAGTCACATCATCCTTGCATGGCTAAAGATTCGCTCATCTGCTTGAAACAGAGTGCCCACCGCACTGCATCTAGGCCAGCCCCTTATTAGATGCAATGTTGCTGAGAATTCACTCAATGATTGGACCAACGCCTCTTAACCTCCTTTTGTTGGCACTTAACTTACGGCCTAGCCTAGACCTGGCAATGCCAATCTTCCAGTGACCCTCTTTTTCTGACTGGTGCTTAGTAAGGAATAAGGGAATGGATCCTGAGGTATTTACAGGGGCGGTTCGTTCCCTCATTCCCTACTACGCACGAGTCTGTTTTGTGGGGTACACTCGAACAACGTGACCGGCGTGCGTGCTTTGCGTACCTTGGAGATGGCAGCCAAGCCGTTGGGCACATCAGCGAACTTCAACCCCGCGCTGGGGGACAAATATCCTGCGATTCGAGGCATGAACAGGCATTAACCTGCATGGATTCACTTGGTATGTAACCAGCTCGTCAACAACTTCTGATCATCACCAGCATCCCCGAATGGATTTGGATGAAACACTGCAATGCAAGGGGCACCCGGTGCACTTAGACCCTTCAAAAAATGAACAAGTAGTTTTGCTGGATTGCTCTAAAAACATCCTTCCTCAGTTCCATCTGTAGATGTCCGAAGAAGATATTCCCTAAAGATGTGGGAACATCCCACAATTTGCAGATGTTACATGGTTCCTTGTGACCTGGAAGTGTTGGGGAGTGAATTAGAGAATGTATATAAACTAAAGCCTATGTTGAGTAAGCCAGGCCGTTGACCATTGTTTCCCCTTGAAGGTCTACGACAATGATTCCCTGGGTTCCTAAAATAGTCGCCTCGCAAAAGGACATAGCAACAAATAACCTCGACCTCCACAATATATACACCTAGAACCTGAGTGACTTCTAATTTGGTCCACCAACCACCCAAAAAATATGATCTTGTCCTATCACAGCAGGTTTATAGAACTATAATCCACAATATATAATTTGATTATACTGCACAGTATGTAAAAAATTCTCTAGAACTGACTTCCAGTAAAACAAACAAACCATCTTGCCGCTGCTTTCACTACCACTCTTCAACCTCCGAAGCCTTACCCTTGTTCCAGCAGTCCAGGAAACTTGCCAGCAATCTCAGGGGTGATATATCCTCGGCATCGGCACTGGATTCATCCACTAAACCCCATACAACAGCATTTGTACAATCAAGAGGAGCCTTGTTAGAGGTAAACTGCTTACATGGTGTTCATCTGAGGAAACATTCCATCGTCAAATCTTAAAGTTTGGAGGATCACCACGTCACCCCAGTAGGTAAAGCATAATTAGACAGTATCGATAGTGACCCAAATGATGATTAGTCTCTGAGGTGGATCAAAGGATTGTCTTGGGATGAACATTTGAAGAGTCCAAGTGAGAAATCACAAACAAAGAGTCATTGCCACTAAATCCAGGTATCACGAACCTAGGTATGTAGCTAACCGGTGGGTCCAAAACCACGACAAAGAAAACTCTTGAACATCCTTGGTCCTTGAACATTCAGATTCATCATCCCTGAAACATATAGTGCAAACTATGACGAACGAATCCACCTCCACCCAGGCATGTTCAATCTCAAAGACTGTATTTGTTTCAGCAGGATCTCTGCTTGGATAGTCAATCACACCATCTCGGGCAGATCGTTCTTAGCTTTTTGATCTCTGTTGAAGACTAAAGGACTTTTTCAGGTTCCTGACAGCCTCATCCCCCTGCAATTCTGACGGAGAAAACAGGGCTGGAAAGTGCCCCTTGCGAAGCCCCGCGACCCGTGCGGGTCGCCGATCCCGGTGCGAACGGAGCCGCCCATGGTCGCGAGCATGGCAATGCGGCCGTGCTTGAGCTCTACGGAGCGCCTGGCCGAACGCGGGCGATGGACTTCTGACATCGCTACACAGATTGTACCGGCTAAAGGATGCTCAAAGCAAAGGATGCACGTTTTCTTCGAGGATTTGCTGCTTTTGCAGCAGTTGTTCGGCATTTCTGGTGGTGTCCGGTGATGCTGAATCAGTGGATCAATGGTTCCGATTGTTGTCAGAATGGTGAGGCAAAAAAGCATGCTCACAACATGAAATGGTTTCTCCAACTCAAAGTTAGCATGCTAACTTTGGGGTTTGCATATGTTTGCATGTAAGAATTCATAAGAATTCTATTGTCTGTGAGATGCGAAAAGCTTTGCCGTGCCTGCGCTGGAAGGCCTCCACGTCCCCATCCCGAGCCAAGCCAGCAGGGTCCCAGTAGCCCACGGGAGGCTGCACGCCAAGCTCCTGAAAATTTGCGGAGACTTCTTGTTACTACTAGTAAGGCACTTGTTACTACAAGCGATGCACTTGTCACTAGTAGCTTCTTGTTACTAGTATTGGAGAAGAAAACTTCTGGTTTCCGAGACTTCAGATATTGGTGACAAGGGTTTATTGGACGGGGTGACTGGTGACAGCTCAAGATATTTCAGAGTACTATCGGTGACAGGAGACTGGTATTCTGAGTACTGGCTCAATTCGTTACTTCACTGTTGGACTTTGGAAGAAGCAAAAAGTCTCATCCGCTCTCACATGTCATCCTCGGCCCCACGCCTGAGAGAGGGCAGGTTCGCCAGACTCAACTTTGGAAGCATTCCACAACCGATGAAGCATTGCTGTGTTCTTGTTTGAGCTTCGATTCAGCTAGGGTTCTCTATCACTGATGGTTGGATAGTTGTGTGGCGCGCCAGTGGACGAATCATCCTGAAACATCTATCTGACATGATAAACCACACAACACAGCGCGTGTTGTAGTCCAATCCATTTCTTCAAATCACAAAAAACATGCACCTTCAGTTGGATCTTTCGAGCTGAGTCGTCTCCTCTGAGTCTCAGAATGTTCTGCAATAGATTGAGGCTGTTGTAATCTGATGAGGTTAACATATGGTAATGTAGAACATCAACATAGATTGAGGCTTTCTGGTTTGTAATCTGATGTTTTTGAGTTTTGGAGCTGGGGTACTCTGAGTCTCGCCGGCACCATCCCATGAGCCAGACCGCGGTCTGGGCGCGAAAGGTGCGCTCCTGCTCGAAGGCCTGGGAACCGCAGAATTGCAACGCTCTCTCTGTGTCTGTGTGCGTCAACCAATGGGATACCTGCTTACCAGTGGATGATATGGATGATTAGATGATGGATGGTCCTTTCTTTCCAAAACAAAAACCGTAGCAACATCTAGATTCTAGGAGGCCCAAAGTCTCCACAAGTGGCCAACACTCTGGTGAAGTGCGGAAACAAGTGAGAGCAAGGGGGATAGGTCATTCACAAGTTCCCAAGGCGATCGAGGGTGCAAAGCTTGATACAACCGATCCTCAAGAGGCAAGGCATTCTGGCCCAAAACCAGCAAATTATGAGCCAACTCGCTGTGGATGTTCATCCCCTCTGTGCACAAATAGATGGATTTTCCTTGCGCCATCAGCTTTTCCAAGAAAAGGTTAGACATTAGCAGTGCTGAGACATAGCCACAAACAATAACTTTGTATAATATGTATAAATATAGATAAATCCAAACTCAACATCGTCAAAAAAAAAGGCTTTTCTGCCAAACATGACTGGAATGGAGAAACAATGAGAACCATGTGGCCCCCGCAGCCTCATGCTCTGATATCATGAATCCACCTTGGACCTTCTTCAATAGGGGTATTCTTCAATCAATGCACCTCCAAAATGAATCTAAATAGCTCAGATGATATGCCAATTTTTGTTACTGTTATATTATGTGGTTATATGTTATATGTGTCAGTTCACCCTGATATCCCAGTAAACCTCCAGCATTCCAAAGACTCATCACTCAAACAAAACATATCAAAATTATTGTCTACTCACCTCATTCATTCTCACTTCAACTGCCTATTTCCAAGGCTCTAACTCATGTGGCTTTAACCCATATCACTTGCCACTTCCTCCTTCCCACGACGTTGAACGTTGGACCAGTCGCTCGCAGCGGGGAGTCGGTGAAGTTGGACCAGTCGCCCCAAGCGGAGCCGGTCAAGCCGTCCTGGTAGAACCTCCGATCGTTACTTCGCGGGTTCGGTTCGATTCGGGGCGCGCCTCTGTCGATGTTGTCTACAATCTGTCTGTTTCTGTGGTGCTGGAACTGGACTGGCAAGAACTCAAAGTCTGGACTGGCCACTTGAAAGACCACGCGGGCAAGTGAAGCATGCACTTGTTGTCGTCGCAGTCTCTTTCAGAGTGTTGTGGTGCCTAAAGCTGTCTTCAGAGTTCTGTTCAAGCCCACCTCCAAAAGAGTGGGTATTTGCAGATTTGGTAGGAGAAGCATAGTTCATAGGGACTTTACTAAATCAGTGTTATATAGATAGACCCAGAACTCCGAAGTCATATACAGTAATTATGTGAACAACCTTGGCACCATCCGAGCCATTGCCACTTTCGCCTTAAGACAAGCACGCATGGAGACATGAACACCTTCCAGTGCAGCTTGGCGACATGCCGATGATGGCCATCATTGCGAGTCTTCCGTTTGCCTCGGACAGTGCTGACTGCTGCGCCCGAACTGCATGGACAGTTGCGGAAAGAAACATACATTTAAGACTCTAAACAGCAGAACAACAAAGCATGATACATCATCCATGAACTCAGGGTCACGGTCACGGCCAACACATCCCTTCAGACGGTAGTACACGGCTCAGACGGTTCTCATGTTTGTTGGTTTGCCCGTGCCAACTCTGTTACAGACGGCCTGATGTTCGCGACTTGCCCTGGGTTGACCCAGTTTTGCTCCAACTGGTGGCCAGGGTCTGCTGGCGAATGGGGAAGCCTGGTCACGCACCATTTGTACCACTTTTTGTCTTTTTGTGTATAATTGGACCTTAAGGCGGGGGCCCTTTTCCTGTTGGCCGGCCCGCACGTGTCTGCATTGTGACCATGTCCAGGCATGCTTCCTTTGCTGTTCCTGACAGAAACAGTACAACTTGTTGTCCCGCACGGTGAGCGGCAGCTTCGTTAGGTGTCTGAACGGACAATGCTGCTACCTGGTCGAGCCGATCCTTGCTCGGTGTTTTTTGGGTGGTCAAGGTTCGTAAGAATTCGGCGAGCTCTTACGTCGCCTATCTCGGTCATCACCCTGAGCCCTGTTTGCTTTCAACTTGAGCTGTGCTGCGAAAGGCTTAGCCCTGATCGGTGATAGGACGGTCGAAGTGGGTGGAAGACCGACGCGTGAAGGTCAGTTCCGTGCTCATGTGGGGAAGCGGATTTACATGGAGTTGAGTACATAAAGGACACGGAGCTGGGCAATGGACCTGAGTGAGGGGATGATTCTGGGCAAGATGCAAGGGGAGAATGGGGCGGAAGGTCCAACTGCATGGTATTTTTGAAGATGCCGGGTGTGGGCACTCTGGCGGGCCAAAACCCGGGGGGCAACATGGACGAGCAAAACCCTCTTCACGGAAGGTACCCTCTGTATGAACGGAGTTCAACATGGGAAGCTCATGCCCGTCCGGAAAGGCCCATTGCACCGAGTGCCAAAAAGTACTTGCAAAAAGTAATCCCTGTGGGCAAAATCAGCGGTACCAGTGGTGATCACTAGTTTGGGAGAGGACCCCTTCACTGATTCGTGCTCCTTTATACAAGAGAGGAGGTGTTGCAAGCTCTGTCACTCTGCCACCCTGCCACCGCTGAGAACGCCCCAAGCCGCCCGAGCTGTCGGTGGGTCTCCGCGCCAGCTCGGCGCTGAGCTTCTTCTTCTTCTGCTCCGGGTCCGCTGAGCTCAGCACCTGAAGCAATCAGAAACGAGTACGTAGGGACGTAGGGATTCTCAGCAATAGAAACCCGAAGCCCTGGTGATGCTATTCAGTGGCTGAGGTTTTTCAATACAAGGCATGTATTTTTCTTTGGTGGTGAGTGAAGAAAGTCAACATGGAGACCAAAGGTTGACCAGAGATTGACCTGCTTTGGGGTGGATCATCATGTGTTTGAACTTGAGGGTCATCATGAAACATTGACATAAACAAACACAAAAAACTGAGAGGCATTGTCAGTCATTGTACATGTCCATCTTGGGCTCACAAGCGCTCACAGCGCCCCCAATTCATCCTCTCCCGAGAAAAAAACACATACTTCATCCTCTCCCGAGAAAAAAACACATACTTTGGCCAAATCCAGAACTTCTGCGAACGTCGGTGGAACCAGGACTTTGCAAAACCACCGCGGTGCTTTTCGACATGGCACATACCAGCCAAAGTCTCCGGGGCGGCCGCTAGCAATGTCGGAGCCTGGCAGTTTGTGTCGGAAACGGAATGACCTCTCATCAAGCAACATAGCAACACAAAAAAAAAGAAACAGCACATGCTAATCCAATTCCTTTCTTGTAAAAAACCTTCATCTGGGCGATCCACATTGATTGTTGGGTATGTCGGGGTTGTCAATGGCCTGTCTCCTTTTCTTTGGTGCCAACCCATGCACGATGCATCTCATTGCTAACCCGAGTTCTGAGCAAGCACTCCACCAAACAACCTGATTCATTCTGCATGGTCCAGGTATGGCCAGGTATTAATCTTTATGCATTGCCGGACTTGCTGACAAAACCCAAATGGCAAATGGATGCAAATGGGAAACCTGCTCCAAACCCCCCTTCAAAAAACAGCCCCCTGCCACGTGGTCCACCCCACATATAGTTGCATCAGTTGGTAGCATCCGACTATCCAGCGTCGACTGACTGTGACAAACATAATATTTGCCAAGATTCTCGCCGAACAGATGATAAACAAAGCGGACGCAGGGGAGCATGTGTGGGCTTAATAGTCCACCAGGATTGATCAAAAGACCTCATCAACACCCTCTACGGCCGCCACACCTGTTCGGACCCACTCGCCCCACCCCAGCACCGGCCTGGGCCACGGGAGACCTCGCACCAGCCCATGTAGAGCAGGATCTGAGTCCAACCACCTGCTGGCACCTCCATTCAGAGCTGGCCGAGTGGGTGGGTTTGGCTGAAAGCATCCATCCAGTGGAAGTTCATTGAATCATATATATATATATATTGAATCTCTCTGCGCAGAAATACCATTAAACGTGATGAAACACGGGTATAGTGGGAACATCTTCTGATTGTTCTGCCTGTATTTGCATTGCACGACATGAAAAATGCTCTAATAGGGAGAGCGCCTGGTCACTGGTGACGTGTAGATCGTGTAGGAGAGACAAGTGGATGGGTAGGGTAGAGTCTGGGTACAATTGCTTGAACAAATCCAACAGTTGAGTCATTCAGCAAACAAACCTTACATGACATCCCCTACCTGGTGCTGTGGCGCCCTGTGGTGCCCTGTCTGTCAAGTTTTTTCCAACAAATCTTGCCAACCTAAACGACACCACCGACCGACGATCTCACCTTGGAGATGGCTGCCAAACCGTTGGGCACGTCGGCGAACTTCAGGCCCGCGCTGGGCGAGAGGTAGCCTGGAAAACGACACCAGCTGCCAGCTCAATTCATGGGAGAAGAATCAAAAAGAGTCAAGAACTTCGAATTGAAGTGAAACCTTCAAGTGAAGTGGACCTGTAATACCCCAAACGCGAATCGCATCGGTTTCCATCCTTGGTTTCCATATCGGCGAAACCCTCCCGTCGCCGTGCCTGGGAACTTGCCGGCGATCTCAGGGGTGATGTAGCCTCGGCTTTGTGGAAGAAAATCAAACCGAATTGCAAACAAACATATTAATTTGCATGGGATACATATATATATATATATATGGTGGGCCCCCCCTCCTGTACCTACCCTTTTTGTACTTTTACTGGTATTTGCATGCTTTTTTATCACTAATTTAGAGACATATTACATACATGGTATATATAATATATATATATATATTTTTTGCACAAATCATCTCGACATGTTCACATCTTCTAGGACCCTAGGAAACAAAATGACCCGCATCCTTTAGGTTGGCATATATATAGTTCTACAGCACTACAATAAGATAAGGATATGCTACCACTACGTCTGGGGAGGTCCTAGGAGGTCCTAGGACCTGCCCAGAACCAAGAACCAAGAACCAAGATTGCAGCAATCTTGGCTCTTGGTTCTTGGACTCCACTTCTGCGCAACCACCACTGTTCCACAACCACAACCAGAAGACACCACTGTTCCACAACTGCACACCCACCACTGGTGCTCACCACCACTGGTGGTTGTGCACCATTGGTGGTGAGCACAAGTGTGCACCAGTGGTGTTTGTAGAACAGCGGTGTGTACACCAGTGCTGGTGTGCACCAGTAGTGGGTGTGCGCAATGGTGGGTGTACACCAGTGGATATTTAAAAATTTGCGTTTCAATAAAATAGTGGTTTTAAAAATGTTTGTTTGTAATAACAAAGTTTGCCCAATGATATGTACAAAACTAAAAAAGATATAAGAAATAGTAATTTGTCAATCCTAAAAATAGTTCAATATATATCTATAAATGAACTCTTCAATATAAATATTGTTTTTAACATATAGATTCTTTTTTCAAACAATACAATTTATCAATGGTGTTTACAAAATGTTGTTTATAAATATAGAATCTTAAAAATATGTTTAATTGAGTTTCTATATTACGTCTTCAACAAATTAGTTTTACTAAAAATATCTAAAAGTATCAGGTTGATTTCTCTTTTTTATTTTCCCCAATGATATCTACAAAATGTTTTTTATACAATAGGAAAACTTTTAAACAACTTGATTTCAATAAATATGTTTGTTGCAAATGTAAATAGTTCCATTGATCTCTCTATTTTTCATTAACAAAGCAACCCATTTTTTAAAATCGAACTTGTCCAAATATATCAAATTTAAAGTAATGGAAATGTCAATTCAAAAAAAAGTTATATATATACAATTTAGAACAAAACCATATATATATATATATTCAATAACAGATTAAAAAAGAATTGCCCATTCAATTTTGATATATCCATGTACATCAACAAATTGCATCTTCAAAATTTGGTTTTTATTAACTAAATGAATTGTTTAAAATTAAAAAACAAAATTTTGTGTTTAATTGTTTTAAATATACATAAATATAATTCAATTGCATTTTCACAAACTGGTTTTTAATTAAACATTTTGTGTTTAATTGGTTTAAATATACATACATATAATTCAATTGCATTTTCACAAACTGGTTTTTAATTAAACATAACTAATTTTAAAAAATATATTTAAGACAAAATTTTCCATTTAAATCCGTAAGTATAAATAGGTTCAATCTGCAAAAACTGGTTTTCATTCCCAAATAGTTAACTTTAAAGATATTATACATATATATTCAACAATAGAAAAAAAGTTTGAACTCACTCTTTTGATATGCAACAAACAAAGTCAAATTTCAAAAATTTGGTCTTAACAAAACATTGTTCAAACAAAATATATGATTAGATTATAATTAGATGATCCATTCAACATTTCAGATATATCCATATATAAAGACAAAGTTTCTCATCAAAAAATGGTTTTAATTGAAGAAAGCTGTTTAAAAAATACCTACATGTATATAGATAGTTGGATGGATGGATAGATAGATGGATAGATATGGATGGGTATGGATAGACATGCGTATATGGATAAATAGGCTTCCAGTATCTGTTAACCTGCACATCACCAGACCAAAGCAATGCACCCATCTTCTGGAATCCACATTGCCAACAAGGGCTAAAACTAGGTACAACGGGGGGTTAGCATATATATAAATACATACTATGCAATGATGTGGACAAACTCATAAGAACTAACTCCATGATGCAGAACATCCTATCTTCATGTTGTTTCTCTCATATTCTATGTTTTGTCCGCCACGACAAAATCAACAAGGTTTCGAATGTTTTCAAATTCTTCCCTCCCAAGGATGCAGGTGTGGGACTGGAATTGCAAGGGGCAGTTGTCATGAATTAACTTTGTTTTGCAGGGGTCAACTCGACATGTTTGGCAGCAACATCTCAAGCCCTGTGCCTATCCCCGCGTGCAAAGGAAACCGGTTCCAAGGTGCATGACATTCCGTCGGTGTGTTTGAATTCCCTGACGCGTATACACTATATTTTCCAGATGTCCAGAGGTTGTTCAGGTCTTTGTAACACTGTAACACTTGCAACGCAGCCTCTCTAAAATTTCACTTTCGCGTGTGATTACATGATTTTGTGGAAGGGGAACGCAACCGTGAAAATCACAATCATTGAAGCGGCATCTGTCAATGCATGATGGTGGCCGGCGTGGTCGGCCGGTGGCTATAAAGTGGGTGGCCGCTTGGTGTGGTAGAAAGCTTGTTGCGACGTCGGGAGGTTTCGCGCGCGCGTGCATGTTTGGAGCGGTCATGTTTCATCCGGAGAGACACTCAGACTTTGAAGGGGGTCACTTTGTAGGATTGGAGCAATCAACCTGCCTGTCTCAGACCGTTTGCCAATCTGCGGCTGGAAGAGCGTAACAAATCCCACCATGGGCTTGAACAGATCCTCACCTGCTAGTTTCCACTTGAAGTAGAGGCGAGCCAGTGCGGACACTGCTCTCCCCCAAGTGAAGGGCGGCATGCAACCAAGTGTGCAAAGCGAGGTTGAAGTATGACAAATCAATTATATAAGTGCAAGTTGGTGGAAGCAGGTGTCCTATACTGGACTGGACTTGCTTGCTTTGTGGGCCTGGCGACGCATGTTGCACATGTTGATGCAATACACCAAAACCATGTTCATGGTGGGAATGTGGAGGGTACTTGTGTGTGCGAGAGACCACGCTTGCGCGGGCCACGCTTACGGAAGCATGTGCGCAAACCAGCGAGCCAGGCTGTCAGCACCATACAAAGTGTGCAAGCTCCAGGGCGGCAATCGCTTGTTGACCTCATGGTGTGGTCAACAAGCTGCCTGTTGGAAGGCGCAGATGATGTCGAAGGTGAAGCATGGACACGATGACATGTTTGTGGCTAACAGGAAGTGCCTGTCACCTCAAAGCTTTACCAGATTCCTTTGCATTGCCGCGAATAGGCGGTGGCCGGCAACTAAAAAGACTACAGTGCGGCGCCCCCCCGGGCTAGGACCTCTACATGGGACGAGACCGTTTGCGTGCTCGGAGCCCAGCTTTCCCTATGCTGTGGATGCACGCACGAAGAGAAAGCGAAACAGCAACACCACCCTGCCGAATCAACACGCAGCCTCCCCTGACACTCACCGATCACGCTCCAGCCAACCAACTTCACTCAGCGCTAAGGCATAGAGCTTGCGATTGGCGATTGCACACATGAGTCTTCAATCTTTCCACAGGCAACCACCCGCAAGAATCTCAAATGTCGTAGCCGGCAAGAGACCCCAAAACCGCGTGTCTAAAGCCTAAGGTCTAGAGTAGACTAGAGGTGTAGAAGCAGAAGGTCTAGAGATCTAGACGGGCTCCATTGCCAGAGAGAGGTGATGGTGGCGATGATGTGGTGGTGATGGTGGTCAAAGGTCAAATGCTGATATTCTCGTCGGGCATTTGTTGTAGGAGATCAAAATTAAATTGTATGGCAAACTGATGTGGACGAGGAGGGTGGACTGTTGCGGACAATGTGCCGAAGAGCGTTTGCCATGCATGGGGGCCTGCTCCTGGCGACCACGGCGTGATCATCAGCTTGCAACAAACAATCCACAAGGTCTTGAAAGCTCTTGAAAGCCTCAGGAGAGCAAGTAGTGGGAGGGGAAGAAGTAGCAAGCTCGTTGAGCAGCACCATGCCTACAGCAGTGCTGCAAGCACCCATGGGGTGAGCGACTCCTGGTTTGTGATATTTTGCCACGCAGCCACGGCATGAAGCACTTGTTGACCAAGGTGTCCCTCAGCTGGAAGCTTGTACACGGCGGCACATTGCGCCTGCAAGAGTGCCAATTGCTCTTCGTGTGCCAAAAAGCCCTGAGTAAGCTCCAAAGAGCCTGAACCGAAGGCTTGCTCTTGGCTGTGGCCGTAGGAGGTTCATCAGGTAGACCATCTTGGCAAGAGCGCTTGTGAGCTGGACTCGACAGCTCAAGCTGCAAGAAGGAATTTCGAGGCACTGCGGGAGGAGGCATGGTCGAGTAAGGTACAAGCCAGGCGTGGAACCTCTGAGCCGAATCACAACTGCACATAGAACTTGATCTCCTGCGTGCCTTGAAGGTATGACTGGCTCGTAACGGGGTGGGTCGTGCCTCCCTCAGAGAGAAGGCGATGACCTTCCCACCATCAAAGCACTCAACTTTTCAGTGAAAGAATGAAAAAAATCAGAGCATGCCGTGCCAATCCAACTCAGCGATGTAAATTCCACGCAATGCTGTACAAAAATCGGATGCAGTAGTTCGGATGTTTCCGCAGAGTGCAAAGAGAAAACTTGGCCAGGTAGAAAAGAAAAAGTAGCAAAAGGAGGTCCACAATGAAGCCTGAACCGTAGTGCATCTCGAGAACAAACAGCTTAGCTGACGAGTCCAAGAGCTTCGTGTAGGCCACACTGTTTAACAGAGGGCCCGGCCATTGCTCACTGGCACATCACTGCTGACGTGCACGCCGAACCAGTGGTCCGGCTGGTTTGGGTCCCAGCGAGACTCCTTTCATTTCATCCAAGTACTGCCTGAAGATGGGATAGGCAGGAACAAGGGGCGAAGCCACATGCAACTGGAACTGGATGATGATGAAGCTCTTCTTTGCATTCAAGCGAGCGCTGCGTGAAGCAACTTCTCGAGCAATTACAGTGGGCAACGGGTCGGCCATCAGAGTGTCCAAGGACTTCAGAAAGATGACATCCCGTTCCTTGTAATGCTGCATACCATAGTCGAAGAGCTCCTTGAGGATCACCGTGCCAAGCGCGGTAGAGCATGGCACCCATAGCGTGAGGCTTGCCGTGCTGATGATGAGCCTGCCAAGCATGTTTTGCCTCCAACATCTTTGCGGCAAACGAGTTGTCCAACTCAAACTTGTAAGCCAGGGAGGAAGCAGCCAACAACTGACTCAAGTCGCGATCATGCTGTAGGAGGAGCCGAGTGAGGTCTGCATTAGATAAAGCCGAAGGACCGGAGCTCTGAGAACGCTCCGGGACATCGGTCGCCTGAGCTTTGGCCTTTTTGTAAGCTGTCCCAAAACACTGAGGATGCTAGGAGCAGACATGGCCTGGTCTGGAAATTCGAGAAGGAGTGCGGTCGATCGCAAGGACCGACATGGCCCAACTCCCGGGGGGGTCATAAAGCCCATAAAGCCTGTAGCTTCATGACCTTCCAGGATTTAAGCACCTGTTCAGAAGAAACCAATGTGTGTACACCAAAAGAACAGGCCAATCCCTTGCTGGTATTAATATGTGCCAGTAAGCCTTGCTGGTTAGTGCTTACGAACGGGCAGCCTTCGAAAGGGCACGTCAGGGCTCCTCCACCAGGGACCCGGCGTGCAGGGCGTGTGCAGTAACGGTCTTGTGCCGGAGTGGATCTGTTCTGAGGTTGCACTGACAGATTGGACACAGCCTGAGACCAAACTGCACAATCGAGAGCCTGACGGGACCAAATACCCTTAGTCAATGCCCGGTATTTGCCGAATCAAGGCATTCAGGCGGGAATAATAGGTGATGCGTCTAGCGGAAACGGATGAGGGCGGGGAACGTCGGTGACGGAGGGTGCCAAACAGAACATTACGGGTAATACGAAACGAATCCGCGCGGGCGAGATGCCCAATCCATCCGGCGAGGCGACGCTGCAACAGGGTAAGAAAACTGGGCACGCCGAGGCGCTGCAACATCATGGCATCACTGATATGTTGATCTTGCATGTCTTGACGGCTTAATCGAAGAGCAGTGCGTACACATAAGTGCCATGTGCTGTTCAGCCGACGAAGGGCTGGGGTACTGAGAGTCCAAGATTCCGAACCGAACAGGAGAACACTGGCTACACAGCTCAAGAGAAGTCTGGCTTTCAGACGGAGTGATAAGCGACGGCTATACCAAATGTGTCTGAGTTGGCTAACAGCACTCTTGGCAAGAGAAATGCGGCGGGAGATATCGGCTTCAACACCGAAACTGGCATCGATAGAGATAGTGGCCTAGATAGCGAAACTCAGCAGTCTTAGGAATACCAACTCGGTCCATCAATATACAAAATGCGAGTTCCCGGGAGCGGCGTCGCATCCCGTGCAGCAGGATCAGCATGACCAGGAAGTTCTAACCACTCGGATTTAGCGGCATTGAACGAAGCACCGAAGGAAATCAGCGAATCATTCAGGAGATTAGCACTGAGGACAAAGCGGTCCCAGTTACACTCATAGAGCAGAGAATCGTCAGCATACTCGACATCGGTAATGTCAAAAGTGTGGGTTGCGGCTGTTCGGAGACGGCTGGTGGGAATTTTCAGGGTGCCGTCGTAGCTAACCGGTGGGTCCAAAACCACGACAAAGAAAACTCTTGAACATCCTTGGTCCTTGAACATTCAGATTCATCATCCCTGAAACATATAGTGCAAACTATGATGAACGAATCCACCTCCACTGAGGCATGTTCAATCTCAAAGACTGTATTTGTTTCAGCAGGATCTCTGCTTGGATAGTCAATCACACCATCTCGGGCAGATCGTTCTTAGCTATTTGATCTCTGTTGAAGACTTTGTCACAAAGGACTTTTTCAGGTTCCTGACAGCCTCATCCCCCTGCAATTCTGACGGAGAAAACAGGGCTGGAAAGTGCCCCTTGCGAAGCCCCGCGATCCGTGCGGGTCGCCGATCCCGGTGCGAACGGAGCCGCCCATGGTCGCGAGCATGGCAATGCGGCCGTGCTTGAGCTCTACGGAGCGCCTGGCTGAACGCGGGCGATATCGGGTTCGCCCTCCATGTCACTAAGACATCGAAGTGGGAACCGCCCCCGCGCTTCTAGAGCCAAATCATATGTCTTTTGTCAGGGCCATCCTCTACTTCCATGAGATATGTTCGTTGGAGGAGGTATCCATTGTTTGTCTCAGAATGCCATGAATCGCTTGTCCAACTCACTTCCGAACTTTACTGTGGCGTGGGTAAGTGAAGTAAGTATTGCTTCTAAATGCCTTCACTTGTAAGAAGTATCTCAGGCGCTGCCAGAATCAATAGAATCAATTGTGGGATGACCACTGACCACAATGTGTCGCGACATGATGCTTCAATGCCATGGGCTCCACCATTGCTGCACATGGGGACTGCGCAGCATGAGCAGTTGCTGGTTGGCTTTTGCAAATCCTCTGACCATAGCTCAGGTCTCACTTTGGAAGTCGGAGCGGGACAGAATGTTCCAGATGATCTTACTAAACTAAATTTAATCTAAAGTGGGACCTGATCGGACAGGAAAATTCTTGCACACCCTGATGCAGTTCCAAATCCCAACTGTATCCCCCCAAATGCCCGATGGTCACTATGCTTCGGAATTGATCAGGCGAGTCAGTCCCACCCACTCGCTTTCTCAACTACAGTAATTGCACTAGCCTAGGAGGTTGAACACCCAGGAATATTCCCAAGATTCAGCTTCCGCTGTTGAGTCGCTTAAATAGTCTTTATTTGTCCCAACAGGTCTGAGCATCTGGGCCTTCCCGTCTGGTCGCTGCGCCGTCCGCGCCTACGCTGGAACGCTTCGACGTCACCATCTCGGGCCAAGCCGGCGGGGTCCCAGTAGCCCACAGGAGGCTGCACGCCCAACTCCTCTCATCTTGCCAAAATGGGGAGGACGTCGTCACTGTTTGGGTCTTAAACCAGGAGTGACATTTCTTTCCTCTGTGTTCAGTACAGCTGATTTCAACAGTTTGGCAGGATGTCATATAATCAATCAAGAACAGGTACCGATCTGCTATAAACAACGGGGAGTCTGAGAAAAAATAGGTTTAGGTATGCACTGGATGAATTTGTTTAATGTAACTATCCCAACCTACAGAGTCTTGATAAGCAGGTGAAAAAGAACAAACATCTCATCTCTTTAGACTCACTGTTCAGGATCTAAGCCTATCTAAGCATATCTAAGCACCATATACCCACTTCTGTAGCCAGCATGTCGGCACGTACAGCCCTATCTCGGCACGTCAACCGCTCAAGGTTCCGTGTTCTCCACGCTTCGAGAAGCCTCTGCTTCGAGAAGACCAGTGTCCTGCTCGAAGGCTTTCAGGGCACTGGTCTTGGATCCAGCCTAAGTCACGAGGTCACCGGTGGGCAAAGCGCGCACAGGTCGAAGCAAAAGGTGTAGATCAGCCAGGTGATCAGGTGATCCTGCCTTTATAGCGATCACCAAATTGCAACTCTTTCCAATTCATCCATGATGCCAAGTTGTGGGTTGGATTTCCGCATGATATGTTTCCGCATGATATTCCATCCGCCAGCCCATTCCGCCGGGCCCTACTTCAGGCACCTGGACCTAGTTTTACAACTTGAACAAAGTTTCAGCTTCGAATTCCTTTGACTGCATCACACTAAAAGTCCCTCCCAAAAGACCATTCAAATCCAACAGCTGAAGAGTTAGAAAACCAATAGAATAGAAAACCAATGTCCCAAACACTCATCCTTGAAACCACCTTAAGCTCTCAAACACGCTCCCCCAACCCCCAACTGGCAACCCGAACTGCCAGGGTCCCAGACCTTACGGGCCTGGCTCACCAGCACTGCAGCGCTGCTGAGCGCCACGGCCGCCGCCGCGTTGGGGCTCAGTCCACTGGCCTGGACCGGTCAAATCCAATGTAGTAGCTTCTTGTTCCTAGTAGCGTGGCACTTGTTACTACTAGTAAGGCACTTGTTACTAGTAGCGATGCACTTGTTACTAGTAGCTTCTTGTTCCTAGTAGTAAGGCCAGGAGCCCCTAGGAGCGTCCTTCCTCCTACTACCGATGCCAGGAGCCCCTGGTAGCTTTTTGTTACTAGTAGAAATGCACTTCTTACTAGTCTAGAATGTTAAAACAACCTTATAAGCTAGATAAAACAACGCAAGTAGCTTCGCAAGAACACAGAACTTGATAATGCTTGAGACATCTGGAGACCACATAGTGAAAAACTTTCAAGATCCCCGGGCCCTGTTTACCACAGATTCTGCCAGCCTGAGTGCTTCGCACTTGGCCCCGGAGTGCAGGAGTGGCGCTCACCGTCTTCGCGCTCGGCGCCACAAAGGCGCATGCCCCGCCCACGGCGGCGGCGGTGGCCAGGGCAACGGTCTCAGGGCATCGGTCTCGTCGTCGGTTTTTCAGGATCACCAGTTGGATGGCGGATTCAACAGGAGAGGCTGGGCCATCCAACCAGTGAGCTTTTTTCCCAAGTTCCATATGACAAGGCCTTCACTTAGTTCATCTTGGGAGGTTTTTAGCCTTGCTCAAGTGACAATTGACACCATCACGTGGTGTCCAATAACGGTTAAAATGCGTGTCACATAGGATTTCGGGGGGTCGGAGGGGGTATGCCATTGGAACTTTTTTTGGGGCGCTCTTGAAATTAGGCGTTCGAACCCTTCCGCCTATGTTTGACTTGCTGATCAACTACGCATGTATCTAAAAAGGATCCACTGTATAGACTCAAAGCCTCGTATGTCCCCAGCCCCAATCAAGATACTCGAATCTGGCAACAAACCCGGCGAAAAAAAAGATCCGGTGCTAGGCATCCCAACGGCCTTGGAGGATGCCATTCCTGTTGGGTGCAAGAAGGGTTTGGTGCGTTGTTTTTGCAGATCCATGCTAGTTTGCATCGCTCATCCGACATCCTCTTACCAGTACCTTGCTCAATAACATGGAGGCTCACAGCACCATGTAAGGCAATGCACCATCTTGACAATGAACAAATTGTATAAATGACACAAGACCAATGTCTTCCTAATGCTCACCACTTCTAGTCCTGCATCCAGAAAACTTCCACATGAGCTCTGCCAAACCTGTCCTTCAGTTTGGGCAACCAAACAAATACACTTCCCGCACACCTCTGAATTCACCCGAGCTTGGCATTCATCCGTCCTTTTGCACAACACGCACACACATCGAACCCCCTGGGCCTGTAGATGGGATTAGAAAAAAATGAAAAACGGGGCGGCGCTAAAAAAAGGCGGCTGGAGCCTCTAGCGCTGCGGCAAAGGGACAGAGCTCTTCAGTGAGCAGCTTTGTCGGTGTTGGGCAGATTCCAGGTCAGCACTGGGGAATTTAGTATGATATGTGCCACGGTTGTGAGCACACGCATCACCTCGAACTTCCAAGTTGTCGTGGAAGAAACAAACAACTTTGTGCAATATGATGCGCATTGGATTCTTCTTGACAACCTGGTTCCAGAATTTGGTCTCAACACGAGGGCCTTTCGTGAATCGTCAGGTGTTCGGATTTGGGAGGTCCAAGTGAACACCATGTTCACGACATTTTGGGTCGTTCCACACTTTGACCACTGCGGCTGGTCATTACTGTGTTGTGTCTTTGGCTCCTATGCCACCTATGAACCCTAGAATCCTAGAACTTATTTATAATATATTTATATATCAGCCACATTGTTTGTTTCTTGTGTTGCCTTGAGTATGTCTGAGATAGACACCTTTTGAGCATCCCAAACATCCTTGCCTATCCAAAGATTCCTTCATCAAAGCAACAAACAGGTCTGAATCTGTGAGGATGAGGATCTGTCGACCCTGATTGCTGACGGGGTTCTGAAAAAGTCGCAATATGTCACAATCAATGCCACTTGTGGTTCGTTCACACTCATCCCATGAGAGCTTCGCCAAAAAAGATTCACCTAACAAGCTTCAGCGACGTCACAACCGGAAGAAACGGGCGACGGGCTGTCCGGCAACCGGTCAACGGAGACACCGCCGCGGAGACCCCTTTTTGTCCGGTCAACCGGAGACCTTTTGCAACTTCGCCTAAGGCCGAACTCGTGGCATCGGTCAAACGAGAATCTGTTTGAGTGTTTTAAACTCAATGTTTTTTTGTATACTGCAATGGAACACATCAACATCAACATCAACAAAATCTAACAATATCTGTTGGCTACACTCAGACTCGTGACTCGTGTTTCTCTAAATATATGACACTGCTTCTACCTCTGCCTCCAATTGAGCATGCAAATTTAAAGAATGGCACTTTGCCTTCTTTTGCAAGGCAACCAACTAAGCCATCGTTTGATTCAGTGATCCAAACCATCTCCTCAAACGACGGAATGCCTCTACAACCACGATTGCTAGATTCATACCAACAGTGTTGCTCACAGTTTCTCATTCATCCATCAAAAATCTTCTTTGGCATCCAGTTCACTTAGAGTCCCTGTGAAAATCTGTGAATCACCAAGCATACTCCATACTTAAAGTCTTACTTGCACGAACACAAATAGAAGGATGTTGCTTGTCTATTTGCTGCTCATGAGTGTCATGATGGCCTGCATGCGGTCCCGTCGGTCCCGTCGGTCTGTTTCGGAGTCTTGGAGGGTCGGCCACCCCGATCCTGTCGGTTCGCGGGGCGTGTCCACAGGAACAAATGGAAAAGATATGAAAAGAGTCTGGAGGGGAAGGGGTTGTGGTGCCTTCTTTTACAGAATCATGAGTGTCTTTCCTCTCTTTCCACATTGGATCTTTAGCATCCTCTGTCTCGGTTCCCAAACGTTCCTATGATACCTATGCCTCTGCGATAGTGTGTGCTGCAGAAGTGCATCATTTCACTCTTTCTTACGAAGAAGTCCATCCCCTTGCCAAATCCGCTGAATCAAGTCACTTGGAGCTTATCCAGGTTCTCTTGGAGCCGCTGAGTGCAAGCCTGGCACATGACTTGATGAGGCGCGGGATCGGAGGGTAGCAGGGTCTACGAAACGAATCTGGCGAAAGCGGCTGCTTTATTCCTCCATCTGGTCATACTTGGCGGTATAGCCAAAAACCAGACCACTGTCCAAATGTTGGCAAAGCAGCAGCTTCTTAGCAACCTTCATTAGCATGCCAGAAACAAATCTGTGGCTCAATCTGCCACGGCCACATTCCATTCTGCTCCAGCTTCGAGCAGCAAACACACCACTGACGACCATTCTGAGCTGCAGCATGCAAAGCCTCAGTACAATCTTGGGCTCGTTACTGCTCTTCTGTCCGCTCCAGCTTCGAGCAACAACTGCACCACTTCCAAGTGGCCAAACCACGCTGCAACAATCAAAGCTGGAACAGTACCAGCTTGGCCCATTGCCATTGCAGCTGTTTTGTCAGCTCCAGCTTCTTGTACAAGTACGAGCCCTTTTTGTGCAATGGGAGTTCCAAGCTCGGGTTGCCCAAACACAGTTCAATATCGGATTTGTAGCAGCCGATCTGCCGAACGCAGAACCTCTTCACAAATGAAAGAAGGACTCACTGACCCATGGCCATCACATCAATTTATCGCAAAAACCGGCCAAAAATTGAGGACTCCTGAAGAACAAGCATGACACTTTTCCCCCACCTCAGCGCCTTTTTGACCACTGCCACCGATTGGGCGGGCCGGTTGACCCGTGGATCCGACGATCCGGACCAAGGGCGCCTGGGAGGATTCTTTCATGGAGGAAGCTGCCTGGCTTTGGCACGGTCTCATTCGACAATACCACATTCGGTGTGCCCCAAAAACATCTTCAACAAACTATGGACCTGTATATATTCCATGTGGGTACCAATGTTGTGGTTGATACTTCCTTTTGCGGGTCGATGTTAGCAAAGACCTGCAGCCTAAGCGCATTTAATGATCTCTGTGAGACAGATCCTTCTGAATTAGCGAAAGAATTGTGCCAAGATCTACTGCCACACGTACTCGCACATCAACACATAATATGTGATGACCAAGAAACAACTTGCAAGAGGTGAAACATGTGCAGCAAAAAACACATCGTAAGTCTTACAGCAAACAAACACATCATAAGTCTTGCAGCCACTAGTAGCAAGGACGGTATCAGGTGGAGGCCATCGCAAGTAGGTTGGAGGCCATCGCTACTAGGTAGCAAGCAACTACGAACGTTTAAAAAAAAAACACAAAAAAAGAACCGAGCCTCAGAGCCTCAAAGCAAACCACATCGCTTTCCACCAAACGACCGAACTCATCGAGCCATCTCTGAAGCATTTTGGTCCGGTGGTCGCGTCTCGCCTCGGCGGTGAGCTTCAGCAACTCGCATGCTTTGGAGCTCCGCGCCTCTGTGGACCGGTGGTGAACGGGGGGAACGGGCCAAGGGGGTGGTGTTGGAAGTGGAGGTGGAATGGGCAGGGGGTTCGAGGGGTTGGTAGGTTGGCAAGTTGAAGATCTTGTTGAGGTTGGGCGTCTTTTTTGGCCAAACAAATGATTAGCATGAAGGCACGAAGGATTGATATGTCCCTTTTTCCCTCATGGTGATGGAGATAAAGTTGATGAACACATGTTAAAGAACCATATATCCAATATATTCCAACAATATGATTCAATCCAATATCCAAGGTTTCCACACTTCCACCTGATAAAGTCAATCAAGCTTCGAAGGTGAAGCGTCGGATTCCCTCCTCGGCCAGTGCCAGGTCCTGCACGAAGAGTTCCAAGGATTGCCGCCAGGTGTCCTGTGCGCTTAACCTTGGATAGCCGTGAGGACGCCGGTGACAACGGTCTCGAGTGGTCGGGTACCAGGATGGATTCATGTGATTCATGTGATTCCTCTGGCGCCAGGGAATTCAGTTGTAATTTGTTGTAATTGTATCTTTTAAAAGCTTGATGCCAGGACTGCAGTTTACAAGGGTTTCTAGGGTGCAAGTTGTTGATGGGCAGCTATTTGATGTACACTGATCCAGGAACAACGTTGGCTTCGAGAACTGTTTTACGCCCGCAGGCAACTTTTGCAACATAGTGAGTTTTGCAAGAAACTCCCATACCGGCCATTCTCACGCTGAACGCCGTGTGACATTCTCACTGAATTTGTGTGGTGTTACAGTAGAATCAGTAGATGCCGCGAACTCATACTCATATACCAAGTCACACTTCCGAATGAAAGGTCCAAATATTGTAAGCAGCAAAGAAAACCAATTTCTGATTTGTCTGTGAAAATTCAACATGCGTCCAGGAATCCTATTGAATTCGGGGCAAAGAGTTCCGAGTGGAATGAACATTGCCAGTCTCCAATCCCAGACACAAAATCAAAAGACTCCATCCTGCCTAAGACCATCCTGGTTCTACCACGACCTGCAGCCCAGCACCTCCCAAAAGGGTGCTTCGACGAGTTGCTGCTTTTCCATCTCTTTGGCACGCAAACACACAGCATCAATCGCAGCGAGCTGTTCGTGCAATCGAACAACCTGACGAGCCACGGTGGCTCACGATGGCTCACCGCACTGGTCACCATCCATGTTCTTTTTTTGTTTGGTCGTAGCTCAATTGCTCTATATCGATTTTTGTTTGACTTTGTGAGTCCCATATGGTTCCCGTGACTGTCGTCCGATTCCCGCTTCGCCCTCCCAAGTTTGTGGGTGCCTGTACGCTTCGCCCTCCGTTCAAAGCACCAAGCGCCGTCGGGTGATCTCATCTTGGCTCTTGCACTTGAAAAAGACTTGAGAAGCCCATCCATCGCCCAATGTTAGAATCGAGCTGTATAGAAAGATATAACATATATATATATATATACCTAGAGCCTGACTGACCTCTGTTTTGATAGGATCAGACCATATTTTGGATGGTTGATCCTCCAAAACAGGGGTCA